CTGGTGCCCCCCCCCCGTGTGCCCACCTGGTCAGAGCCAGTGGGGGGACTCTTGGCGGGGGGGCGGGTGCAGTTTGGCCCCCCTTGTCAGGGCGCCCAGAGAAGAGGCTGACCGGCGGGGCGCTCACAACTCGTTGCTCCCCCGGCCCTGCTGCTGCTCTTGCTGCAGCTGCCAGTCCCCGGCCGTGAGGAAGAGGAGGAGGAGGAGAAGCGCTCTGCTGGGAAGCCAAGGGGGCAGGCAGGGAGAAGTTAGTCGGCCAAAGAGGCAGCGGGTGGCAGAGGCGGTGGCAGGGGTCACCTCGCTGCAGCAATGAGCGAGCCGCCCCTGTGGGGGGTAGAGGTGGTGGTGGAAAGTGCAGCGGCCGACTTACGGTGACCCCCGTGGGGTTTCCAAGGCAAGAGACGTTCAGAGGCGGTTTGCTATTGTCTGCCTCTGCGCGGCAGCCCTGGACTTCCTTGATGGTCTCCCACCTCGAGTATCAGCTTCTGGGATCCGATGAGATCCGGCTCGCCTCGGCCCTCCAGGTCAGGCCACCATAGACTTACTTGGCATTTATTCTGCGGCAATTCCCTAGGGATGGTAAGGGGGATTTATCTGGGGCTGAGTTTTGGTGTGCGTGTGTCTGTGCAGGGGTGTGTGTGTGTGTGTGTGTGTGTGTGTGTGTGTGACATTTTCCCAGTTCGAGACTTACTTGCAAATCTTCTGCTTTCTATTCTTCTAATTCTATTAGAAGAGCCAGTTTGGTGTCGTGGTTGAGTGCGCGGAATCCAATATGGGAGGACTGGGTTTGGTTCCCCACTCCTCCACATGCACCTGGCTGGATGACCTTGGGCAAGCCATAGTTCTCTCACAGCTGTTCTCTCAATGGCAGTTCTTGAGAGAGCTCTCTCAGCCCCACCTACCTCACAGGGTGCCTGTTGTGGGGAGGGGAAGGGAGAGGAGTTTGTAAGCTGCTCTGAGACACCTTCCGGTAGTGAAGGGTGGGGTATAAATCCAATCTCCTCCTCCTCCTTTTTCGTGGTGGATTTCAGGGTCCCAGCTGTTAGGTGTGGGTCTTGAATTATCAGTATGACTAGCAAAATACTCATAGTTATGATGGACAAGGTGTACACTGCAACGGTTGTCAGGAGTAGTAAGCTGCTCTGAGACACCTTCGGGTAGTGAAGGGCGGGGTATAAATCCAATCTCCTCTTCTTCTATTATTTGAGTGGGGACGGGGAGTCCACGTTAGGGATGGGGTTTGGGGAGGAGGAAGACAAGAAGGCTGGGATTGCCGCATCGCTGCTTAAAACTGCTGACTCAGAATCCATCAGCAAATTAAAGGGCACCACCCAGCTAATGTGAACCAGTTGCTGATATATTACCGCATCAGGGTTTTTGGATCTCTGAAAATAGCCATTTCAGCAGCACGCGGGATTGAAGTGTGTCGCTTAGATCACCACCGAACACAGGTGTGTGGGAGGTAGCGTTGCCACCTCCAGACTGAACACTCCTAGAGATTTGGCGGTAGAGCCTGGGGCGAACAAGGAACCCCAGTGGCGTACAATGCCACAGACTCCACCCTCCAAAGCAACCGTTTTCTCCAGGGGATCTGCTCTCCGTAGCCTGGAGATGAGCTGTAATTCTCCAGGATCCCCAGGGGTCATTTCCTGCAGGAGCGCACAGGAGCGGAGCTCCGGCAGTAAAGAGCCCAGGGGGCGGGCACATGCAACAAGCCCCACCCCCTGCTCCCAGCAGCCCTGGGCCATGAGGAGCATGAGCAGCCAGGTAAGTTGCAGTGGCTGTTGCCCTCTGACACACTTCCGGTGATGTCAGGGGGTGTGGCATATGCAAATAAGTTATGCTAATGAGCTCCTCCACCTCTTTTCCTACGAAATGACCCCTGAGGATCCCCAGGTTCCACCTGGAGGCTGGCATCCATAGGCCACCGCCGGAGGGAGATGCGGAAATGAGTCACCGAGGTTATGGTACCGGCATGTGTGTGTGTGTGTGTGTATGTGATCTTGTGTACACAACAGCAGCCTGACTCGGCCACCGCTTTGTCCCCAGGTTGTAAATTCCACCAAAGTGGTTCGGCATCGAGGCGTAAGAGCTCAGCTCTGGGAGGCCGGCCAGATTCTCAGACGAGGCGAAGACTCCGATCCGGAGCTGCCGCTCTTTGACTTCTGAGGAGGACCTCAGTCTGCGCGGCTGCCCCCCGGGGTACGGGGTCTGCGAGGCCCCTGCCTTGCTTTCGTGTTTTTAATTCTTCTCTGCCCTCAGCCTCTGACATTCTTTTTTGGTTCAGCCTATTCCGGACTGTTCTCTCAGCCCCCAGCTGCCAGCCAGATCCAAGGACTGGACTTTGCGTTTGCTAAATTATAGGAATGAAGATTGTCGGCAAAGCGCTGGTGTTTGGGGATCGGCTGCTATGAACGCCACAAAGCTTGGCCGTAAAAACTTAAGAGCAACTGTGAGGGAAGAGTCCAAAGGTCCACGTAGGACACGCCTTGTTTCGTACAGTGGCTGCACCAGATCCCCGCGAAGGCCCCAGAGCAAAGCACGGAGGTCAGAGTTTTCCTCTGTTGTTCCTTGGCGACTGGTCTTCAAAGGTAGACTGCTTCTGAACATGGGGTTTTTATTTAGCCACCATGGTAGGGAGCTGTTGATGAACTTCTCCTGGGATTTATCTTGTTTCTTTGGACCTGGTTAACAGACCCTCGCTGAGGAAGGTTGGAATCGGATGCTCTGGCTTCCATGTTTTCTATCGTGTATGGGACTCTGTCTTTCTCCTCTTCGTAAGAAGGGCCCTACTGGATCAGACCAGTGGTCCGTGTAGTCCAGCATCCTGTCTCACACACACACAGTGGCCAACCAGTTCCTCTGGAGGGCCAGCAACAGGGCAGAGAGGCCGAGGCCTTCCCTGATAAGAACATCAGAAGAGCCCTGCTGGATCAGACCAGTGGTCCATGCAGTCCAGCATCCTGTCTCACACGGTGGCCAACCAGTTCCTCCAGCCGAGGCCTTCCCCTGATCTTGCCTTCTGGCACTGGGATCCACAGGTTGACTGCCTCTGAATGTGGAGGTTCCCTTTAGTCACCAGCGCTGGTAGCCACTGATAGACCCTATCCTCCACGAATCTGTCTAGTCCCCTTTTAAAGCTGTCCGTGACTGCTCATCTGTCTATGACATAAAACAATTGCTCCTCTGACAGAAGGTTCTCGCACAAGCTGTTTCACAAAGGGAACTTTTATCTCAGCCATGAAACCCTCTTGGGAAGAAGCACAATGGCTCTTAAGAGGCATAGAGAATAAAAATATGAAACACTTCAGAGCTCAGAGCGGAT